CACACACACACACACACACACACACACACTCAAACACACACTCACTCAAACACACACACACACACACACACAAACCCACACAGATCATGTGACGAGTCTCTCTGTGGTTTGTGTGACGCATTAATGAAGGCCTGGAGATGAAGATCAGTGACATCATGAGAGAAACCCATCAGAAAACACCCTGTGATAAACACGAACCCTGCTTTCCTCTAGTTAACCCTCCATTATCTCTGCGCCCCGGTGCATTATGGGAACACGCTACATACAGCTACAGTACGACAGCATATGAAGCTGATGAGAAGATCAGGAGGAAGAACCGCATCTGATGTTCCCTTCTCATCACAGCTGATTATCAGGAGAGGAAGTCTGTTTATCAAACCCTAGTGAACATCCCTCTGCTGCCTATACAGGAAGTTCCCTTCAGAGACAGCATCACACCTCATGAGACTGATTTAAAACGATTTAAAATGAGCACAAACTCAATTAATGGTCACTCACACAATTAGACCTAATGCTTTTTTTTTCAGTACGGAATAAAATCTATTTATAATACATTTTCCTCTCGACTCCATCTGCCATCTGTTGCAATGCATTCTGGGACAGCTGTATTGATGAAGAACACAAGCATCAGAGTTCGGAAGAGCTTGTACATGACTTAAAATGATTTCAAATGATAAAAATCAAGATATTTCTCATTTTAATTCTTAGTTTTTGTCTTCAAACAACCAGGTTTTGGAAAAAAGCCTCATTTTAAAAGTGTGATTTCAAGACAAATTCAATAAATTCATAAAATCTTAAAACTGAATGGACATTTTATTATGAATAATATTTAACTAGTTATTCTAAGCTCTGAAATATTTTATCAGGCAGAAATTGTGAGTGAAAAATATATTAAAAACTTATACTGTGTGTTTATCTGTTTTGTATTTATTCATATTTAATTGGGATTTCATAAAATAAAATCCTGTAATTGTAATTATACTAATAGTAATACATAACCGAAATTTTAAAATTGATAAAAAAAAATTTTTTTTTAATTAAATTAATAAATAATTAAAACTAAAAATTTATAAAACGCTGGGCACTAGAGCTGGATATATACATTATATATATATATTACACACATACTGCTAGCCATCAAACATCAGCTCTACTGAATAATACAGGTGCATAAACATCAGAAGAAGAGAAAAACATGCACATCTGCACACTGAAATTAAAACCACACATATTAGAAAAGACGCACCATTTCAACCGGTTAGGTCTCCATCAGGCAACATTTCAAAGTGACACAGAAGTTGAGAACATCATTTCTGTTGATCACTGACAGACCATCCTGCATCCTCAAACTGAGCGTCATCTGTCTGGACAAAAGCCTCGCTAACTACTGCCACAACCATCCTCGTGAAAACACACTCATCAGACTCTAATGTGCATCAGATCTGGATCTACACGCTCGCATCAGACTGACCTGAGATCAGTCTTTCTCTGTCAAACACACCTGATGTTCTGTGATGAAGCACCGCAGCTTCCTCTCAACTACAGACACAGGTCAGATTCTCACACACACACACACTCTCTCTCTCTCTCTGACACACACACACACACTCCCTCTCTCACACACACTGAAGTGAACAAATGAAGGAAGCACATTTGAGCCTCAAAACCACAGAGTTTCATGGGACTGAAGCCTGTTTCTCTCTCTCTCTCTCACACACACACATGTGTGTGTGAGAGAGTGAGTGAGTGAGAGTGTGTGTGTGTGTGTGTGTGTGTGTGTGTGAGTGAGTGTGTGAGAGAGTGAGTGTGTGTGTGTGTGAGTGAGTGAGTGTGTGAGTGTGTGTGAGAGAGTGAGTGAGTGAGTGAGTGAGTGTGAGTGTGTGTGTGTTAAACACCAGTACTGAACTTACACCTAAAACATTAAACCACAACCAGAACACCCTAGCAACCGCATAGCAACCTCACAGCAATCACCCAAACACCGTAGCAACTTAATCATCACTCAGATACTATTACAGTTTATTTATATTTTGAATTAGATTTTATTTTTATATTTTCTGTTTTCATTTTAGATCAGTCTTTCTCTGTCAAACACACCTGATGTTCTGTGATGAAGCACCGCAGCTTCCTCTCAACTACAGACACAGGTCAGATTCTCCCACACACACACTCTCTCTCTCTCTCTCACACACACACACACACTCCCTCTCTCACACACACTGAAGTGAACAAATGAAGGAAGCACATTTGAGCCTCAAAACCACAGAGTTTCATGGGACTGAAGCCTGTTTCTCTCTCTCTCTCTCACACACACACACACACACACACACACTTATCTAAACGAGAACATGCCATAAAGGCGTGCTGCTTACATAAAGCCAATAATAATGACTAAAGACTCACAAACACTAATCATAAACTAAAATACACGTATATAAAGCAACTATATAGCAATACACAGCTTCATGGCAACTGTAGAACATCTAAAGCCTTGAAACACCTGTCAGCCAATCAGAATGCAGCATTCAGCAGCGCTGCGATACAAAGTAACAAGATTCTGTAACAAACACACTCATGATTCTGTGCGGTGAGCCGGTCTATAAGTAGAACAGCAGCACTTCCAATTAGATTTTATTTTTATATTTTCTGTTTTCATTTTAATTTTTGTAAAATGTATATATATATATTTCTTTTTTTCTGTTTATTTTACTTCAAGTTGTTTTTTTTCAAGTTTGTTTTTCAATGTTTTTGTTTTGTATGGTTTTATTTTTATTTTTCATTAACAATAAAAACCAATATTTTCCTTTTATTTCGCACACATTTAAACTCAGCGTATTTTATTTACATCAGAACAATAATATCTGTAATATAATATTTAATACAGTATTAAAATATTTTAGATTTAATAATTAATATAGTATTAAATTTTTCATAACATTTAATATATAGTAGAACGGCGTATATTTAATGAATGTAGCATTCTATTATTTTATTTTTTTTAATTAAAAAAAGGACTCTATCTTCCCTCTAGACTAGTTCAGTCCAGGAAAGCTGGTCTTTGGCTGCTTGTAAGATCCATTCTTATTGATCTGCATCTTTGCACTGGATCTGGACCATCGCTTTCCCACAATCACCTGATCTGATCTGAACACAGCACGCGGCGTGGCGCACTACAGGACCCGAGTGAAACACACAGAGTCACTCACCTCAGAAGCAGACGGCGCGGCGGATCATCGGCGTCTGAGCGTGAATCACAGCTTCTATTTGAGCCCGTGTGTGTATTCTCAGCATTTACAGCCTGATCTGGTATCATCTCTGACAGCATGCGCTCGCGGAGCAGAACGCGACCCGAGGCGCGGAAACAAACACTCGAGGCGCTGTTCATCTGTTCCACTGCTCGAGAAGATTCTTCACCTCGACTGACGCTCAGAGGAACGACGGAGAAACATCAGAACCCAGCCCAAGAGCTCCGAGCATCTCAGCACCTGCGCTTACCTGCGCTGCGTTCATGCTTTAATACCCACAATCCCTCCAGCTTCTGCTCGTCCTGCTGGAAAAAGAAGATTTGTGAACCATCTGCTCCATAAATGATTAATAAGAGGAGTTCATAACTTCACCCATTTACACTCTCTGTTCCTCAACAATGGGTTATTTAAAGAAGGTTCCCCAAACTGAGCTGATGAAAAGCTAATAATTAAACAAATCATAAAAAATTACTATAATAAAAAAATAGATTAAAAATCACAATTAAAATGTAAAATTCAAATAGAATTAATTTTAAATAAAGTAAAATATTTTGTATTGTTTTAAAATAAACAAATGAATAAAATTCAAATATAAAATTCATATACATAAAGTTAATTAATTTTTTTATTTGAGCCCGTGTGTGTATTCTCAGCATTTACAGCCTGATCTGGTATCATCTCTGACAGCATGCGCTCGCGGAGCAGAACGCGACCCGAGGCGCAGAAACAAACACTCGAGGCGCTGTTCATCTGTTCCACTGCTCGAGAAGATTCTTCACCTCGACTGACGCTCAGAGGAACGACGGAGAAACATCAGAACCCAGCCCAAGAGCTCCGAGCATCTCAGCACCTGCGCTTACCTGCGCTGCGTTCATGCTTTAATACCCACAATCCCTCCAGCTTCTGCTCGTCCTGCTGGAAAAAGCAGATTTGTGAACCATCTGCTCCATAAATGATTAATAAGAGGAGTTCATAACTTCACCCATTTACACTCTCTGTTCCTCAACAATGGGTTATTTAAAGAAGGTTCCCCAAACTGAGCTGATGAAAAGCTAATAATTAAACAAATCATAAAAAATTACTATAATAAAAAAATAGATTAAAAATCACAATTAAAATGTAAAATTCAAATAGAATTAATTTAAAATAAAGTAAAATATTTTGTATTGTTTTAAAATAAACAAATGAATAAAATTCAAATATAAAATTCATATACATAAAGTTAATTAATTTTTTAAAAATTCAATAATAAAAATGTAGAAATAAAATACATTTTTAAATGAATAAAATACTAAAAATGGAAAATTAAAAATAAATACAATCAATAAATAAAACTGATTTTAATTTAAAACAATCAAAATGTCAAATTAAAATAAATTTTTAAATAAAAACAAAATGAGGCACTTACAAAAAAAAAAAAAATGTTATTTGTTGATCTGAATGTCATGCGACCATTGAACTACATCAGAGAATCGTGTGAATGTGTTGTTAAATTATTAAAATATTTAAGGGGGACTTCAAGACAATATTTCAGCTCAAAGTGTTTCAGCTGATGAAGCCGTTTGGGAATCTCTGGACGTTTCTATTCACACACGCGCTACATATCTGCATACTGCTTCTCTATAAATAACCTGTTTCCAGGACATTAAGTGCTGTTAACCTCAGATTCATCTGCCGTTACTGGAGCACATTTAATATTTGTTATGGAAACCACGTGAGCTGCTGTTTCTGACTCTACTGAAGCACAAAATAATCTCATGAAGAACGTCAGCGGCTGGAGCAGACGAGTCTCTGCACGCTTTAACGCTCCCACATTTGAGGACGGCTGTATCACCTTTCCGTGCTACAGTATCCCAATAATAATAATAACCAGCCAATGACTAGGTTACCTGGACTAATTAGTCTCTAGAGACGGCTCAGAATGGTGAAGGGGTCAAAGTGATCTTTTTATATATATATTAAGATTATTTAATATAAAATGTTTGATATACTTTAGCATAACATTAAATATTAAAACATTATATTTAATATATTAAATATTATAATACAATACCAAAATATATTACATACACAAAAATATTTATTATATTTAATACTATATTGAATATTACAAAAATAAAATAATTTATTTTAATACTATATTACAAATATTATACA